GGATGTGATGGCACTATGCCTGTAATCCCAGCTACTTGGCAGGTTGAGGTAGAACAATTGCTTGCATCCAGGAGGCAGAGGTTGCAGTGAACCAAGATCACGCCACTGCACTCCATCCTGGGCAACAGAGTGAGTCTCTGTCTCAAAAAATAAAAAAATTAAAAAAAAAAAAGATTTTCAATGTAAACAATCATGTCTGACATAAAGACAGTCTTGCTTCATTCTTTTTCAATCTGCATACCAATTTCTTTTTCCTGTCTTACCACACTGGCTAAGACTTTCAACATAATGTCAAACACTAGTGGTGAAATTGCATATTCTTGCCTTTTCCTAATTTTAGGGAAATATCATTCTAGCTCTGTCACCCATGCTGGAGTACAGTGGCACAATCTCAGCTCACTGCACTCTCTACCTCCTAGTCTCAAACAATTCTCTCACCTCGGGCTCCCACCACTTGGCTAATTTTTTGAATTTTTTTTTGTAGAGACAGGGTCTCACGATGTTGCCCAGGATGGTATATTTTATTTTCTACTTATGTTGTAAACTCTGCAAATATTTGTTATGAATGTTGTTTTAACTAGTGAATCATCTGCCAGGCACAGTGGCTCATACCTATAATCCCAGCACTTTGGGAGGCCAGGGCAGATAGATCACCTGAAGTCAGGAGTTCAAGACCAGCCTGGCCAACATGGTAAAACCCTGGCTTTACCAGAAATACAAAAATTAGCCAGGTGTGGTGGCAGGTGCCTATAATCCCAGCTGCTATGGAGGCTGAAGCAGGAGAATCACTCGAACCCAGGAGGTGGAGATTACAGTGAACCAAGATCATGCCACTGCACTCCAGGGTGGGTGGCAGAGTGAGACTTCAGCTCAAAAAAAAAAAAAAAAAGGAAAAAAAAAAGTGAATGGTTTTCTTTCATATTTACTCAGCATGATGACATGGGATCATTTTCCTTTGACCTGATAAATTACTTTAGGATTTCTTATCATGTTAATCTACCAGGTATGCAACTTCACAGTTCCTATCTGTCTGAAGACATTTTTCTCACTTTCATATTTGAAGTTTTTCTTGGTGGAGGGTAACAGAATTCTAGGTTGACAGGGTTTTGTTTAGCTTTGTATTTCTTTCAGCATTTTAAAGCTGTTATTCTATTGTCTTCCGCTGTCCACAGATTTTTGTGAAGAGATTGGTTATCATCTTTATTGTTGTTCCTCAAGAGAAACTGTATCGCTTTTTTCTCCAGCTGCTTTTTTTTTTTTTTTTTTTTTTGACAGACTCTTGCTCTATCGCCCAGGCTGGAGAGCAGTGGCACGATCTTGGTTCACTGCAACCTCTGCCTCTTGGGTACAAGCAATTCTCCTGCCTCAGCCTCCCAAGTAGCTGGGATTACAGGCACTGTCACCACAATCAGCTAATTTTTGTATTTTTAGTAGAGACAGCATTTTACCATGTTGGCCAGGCTGGTATCAAACTCCTGACTTCAGGTGATCCACCCGCCTCCGCCTCCCAAAGTGCTGGGATTACAGCATGAGCCACTGAGCCCAGTCTCGGCTGCTTTTAAGATTTTCTTTTTGGGCCAGGTGTGGTGGCTCATGTGTGTAATCCTAGAACTTTGGGAGGCCAAATAGGACGGATCACTTGAGTTCAGGAGTTCGAGACCAGCCTGGCCAACACGACGAAATCCCATCTCTACTAAGAATTAAAAAAATTGGTATAGTCCCAACTACTCAGGCAGCTGAAGCACAAGAATCACTTGAACCCGGGAGGTGGAGGTTGCAGTGAGCCAAGATCATGCCACTGCACTCCAGCCTGGGCAAAAGAGCAAGACTTTGTATTAAAAAAAAAAAGAGATTTTCTTTTCTTTCTTTCTTTCTTTCTTTCTTTTTTTTTTTTTTTTTGAGACAGAGTTTCGCTCTTGTTACCCAGGCTGGAGTGCAATGGCGTGATCTCGGCTCACCGCAACCTCTGCCTCCTGGGTTCAGGCAATTCTCCTGCCTCAGCCTCCTGAGTAGCTGGGATTACAGGCACGCACCACCATGCCCAGCTAATTTTTGTATTTTTAGTAGAGACGGGGTTTCACCATGATGACCAGGTTGGTCTCGATCTCTTGACCTCGTGATCCGCCCGCCTCGGCCTCCCAAAGTGCTGGGATTACAGGCTTGAGCCACCGCGCCCGGTGAGATTTTCTTTTTATCTTAAGTTTTCAGAAGTTTTATTGTGCTGTGATTAGGTGTGCTTTTATTATCCTGCATGAAGCTTTTTGTGAAGCGATTTGAGTCTGTGAACTTTATCTTTTATTAGATTAGAAAAACTCTCAGCCATTACTTTTCAAGTATTACTTACATCCGGCCAGGCACAGGGGCTCACAGCTGTAATACCAGCACTTTGGGAGGCCAAGATGGGCAAATCACCTGAGGCCAGGAGTTCAAGACCAGCCTGGCTAACATGGTCTGTCTCTATTAAAAAAAAAAAAAAAGAAAGTCGTACTTACATCCTTCCTCTTTCTCTTCTCTTTCTAAATGCTAATTACACGTTAGACCTTTGCATATGCCCCACATCTCTCTCTTTGTTCTTTTTTTTTCCATTATGTTTTTTCCTTCTATGTTCCATTTGAATATTTTCTATGACTGTTTTTGAAATTAGACTGGTGCTGTAACCATTCAAATAGTTCTTAATTTCAGATATTTCAACTTGCATTTCTAAAATGTCCATTTGATTCCTATTGATAGATTCAAATTACCAAAGTGCTTCATCTTTTCATTCATGTTATCCATCTTTCCCTCTAATTTTCTAAACATACTAATGATCATTCTTTTGAAATCTTTGTTCACTAACTCTTGTATTTGAATCATCTCTGGGTCTGCTGCTTTTATCATTTTATCTCATGATTTTTGTTTCTTCCTTTTTCTTTTTTTGTTGCATGTTCAGTGATTTTGTGTCTGTGTGTGTGCTGGCTATAGTAACTGATACAGTGGATGGGCTCTAGATTATATTCTTCTCTGAATGTTGAATCTTGTTCTAGCAGCATCTATTTAAATTTAGCCCTCATATGCCCAAATTGACACATCTCTTATCTGAGAAGTTTCCACTGCCCTTATTAGGTTTAAAATTTGATCATGATCATAGTGTAGTCTCTCAAAGTGCTCTAGAAATTGTCAGTGGTTTACATGAAGTGGCCGTGGGTCACCGGAGCACCCTGAAACTGTATCAAAGTTGTACATATTTCCAAACATTTTTATTTTATTTATTTACTTATTTTCAAGATATGCAGCAAGTTTAAAACCTGAAGGTTAGCAGAAACGACAACAAGACCCAAATGCAATGCTACAGTAAAATGGGGCTGGGGGTGGAAGGGGGCAGAGGGACACTGGATATCATCATGGCAACTAGTGAATGACTCCTCTGATGCCCTGAGATCATGAGACCCTTGACCATGTCACAAAGAATGGAATAAATTAACAACTCTGGAAGACAAGTAAGTGATTAGACTAGGGGTCGGGACCTGGAGCTTTATCACAATAGTGATGCTCAAGGATGTCTGGGCTCAAGAGTATTCTGGTCAGCATTTTAACATCCAGAGAAGGGCTTCTTCAGGACACACTCCCTTCTCTTAACTGAAGGTGAAGAAACCCAGCCCATTCTGGGTAACTGGGCCCCGTAATACCTTGGTCTTTCTTTTGATGCACAGTAGCACTACATACCACTGTGCCCCCCAGCCAGCTTCACTATGTCTGCTAAGCACCCACTTTGCAAATGGATCTCAAACAGAGAACAAATCCAGAGAAGGTGGGAGGAGCCACAGTGGTGGGATTTAAGAAACAGGAATTGGCCAGAGGAGCAGATGTGTCCTATGTTGGGTCCCTTGTAGACATCATGAAGATTGCTATCACTCAGAAGCACCTTTTCCCCAGGTCTGAAGGCTGACATCCCAAGGTAGGGGCAGCTGGCACAGCGGCAAGTATCACCCAGGTGGCCATTTCCACAAGCCGACGTGGCTTGGGAACTCGTCTGTCTCCTTGACTTCTGTTTTTCTAGTTCTCCAGCGAGGCCACGGTTGCAGCTCTGGCAGGTCTTCCTCTTTTTACCTTCCCCACAAGAAGCAGCCGGCAGAGAAGCCACATCTGGCTTCTTCAAATCTTCTGGATCCAGCAGCTCATCTGAGTCAATGAGATCCATGCTATCATTCTCCATATCATTGTCTGAGAGGGTCCACAGCTTGGCAGCAGCAGGGTACCCAGCAAGCTTCACTGAAGGAGATGACTACTTGGTAATGGAAAGCTTAAGCTGATGAGAAGAACCCACTTCAAAGTCCGGTTTTATGCCTGTGATCTCAACAAGCAGCAGGCTGTCACTTTCATAACCCAGGTGTTCTTGAACAGACTGTTACCCCCTCAGGGATTAAGGGCTCCCACCGCAGCTCTTTCGTTTCCACAAGACCAGAGGGAGTCAGGGCTGAACACAGCTTAGATGTTGTCTTCACTTTGCTGTTGTTATCTGCAGCTGTCTCTACTGGTTCTTTCAGAAAAAGACATCCACCAAGCTGAAGGATGCAGGCAATTTCAGCCAAAATCTCAGCACTGCGCAGAGTAGTGCTTCCCAGGACTAAACCTGACAATATGATATCAAAGCTGGATTATTTGTGGGCAGAATGCAACAGCTGGTTGATGTTTTCCACAGACACGCAGCCCTCATTGCCAGTTAACATTTGAAGCTTATCCACCAGATCTTTCAGAGCCTCCACTGGGATGACTTATCTCAGACCGCTGACACAGACTGGCCAGCGGAGATCAAAATCTGCCATTCCTGCAGTGCAGGACCGATGGACCTCAAACCTGCTGCCTGGGCTCACCTTCAGCTTCTCCTCAGCGGTCGACCCCACACAAACATCTTTAAAATGAAAAGGCACTCTTGTGTTCTCCTCCCTCTGTGCACTTTGCTGTTGGTGTAACAAGGCATCTGAATATTTTTGTTTCTGACTTTCCTTTTCTTTTTTTCTTTCTTTTTTTTTTTTTTTTTTTTTTTTTGGTAAAGTGGTGTTAACTGTATGGTTATTGGCTAGAAATCCTGAGTTATCAACTGTATATAGCAATAGCTTGTAAAACGAACAAAACAAACGAGACAAACTCTTGATGCTCCTTGCTTGGCACTGAGGCTGTGGAGCAGACACCTTTTGCAGGGGCTGTAGCTCAGGGCGTATATGTGAGACTGGGGCCGGCTGACCCTGCAGTGGGAATTCATTTAGCTCCGGGTTCTCTTGGTTCTGCATATAGTGACATAGCGTTCTGCTGCCATCTTAGCCGTGGACAAAGTGGGGGGCGGGGGTCAGCTGGCACGAGAAGTTTTGTTTTGTTTCAGTTAAGTGCGGTCGTCTTTAAACTGTCTTTAAACAAACTGTAGAACTCTTCATTGTGGGCGAAGCGAAGAGCCACTGCATCAATGAAGGTCAAGAATCTTCTGTACTTAAACACAATTTGTTAGTTTGTTATTTGTTATTTTTTGTATGTGTAGAATGTTGAAATATTTTTGAAGTTAAATAAACAGGATTACATTCAAAAATTAAGATAAATAAATAAATAAATTTAGCCCTCACTCCCACTGTGTAACACTGGTAATTCATGGTCCATAATCCTAGGATGTGGGCTTTCTAGGGTCTCCATGAATACCTAGTCATTCATGAAGGTTTACACATTCTACATTAGGATAAGCCTAACCTCTTGCATATTTCCATTATTGTTAACCTCTGAAATCTCTGTTTAGGTCTCAGCCTCCCAAAAATTATCATCTGCTAGACCTTCTGAAGTCTTGCCCTGCAAATACAGACCTTAATAGTGAGCTGAACAGCTCAGGAAATTTTAATGCAATTTCCAGGGGCTCCTTTTCTGTACCTCCTTCCTCTACGTGAGCTTCACCCTCCAAACACAGCTGTGTTAGAAGGCCTGAGCTCTGATCTTTGTTTCTTCTGCCCACAGACACTGCTGCTCTCTCTTTTTGGGCTCATCTCTCAGTGCTGGGATGAATGTGAGGGTGACCATGTGCTTCCTTTTTCTGAAGGAAAGCAACCCAGTGCTGCATGTTTCCATTTTACATAATTTGTCTAGCTTCTATTGTTGTTCACATCAGAAAGGTGAGTCCAATACCAGCTACTCAGACATGACTAGAACTGGATGTCAAGAAATTTATTTTTTTTAAAGGAATAAATGTTTTTAAAAAATTGTTTTTCTCATCTCTAGTTGTAGTGCACAACTACACGTAAAAGCCTTTTACCACATGCTCTGACTAAAATTCAGATTATAAATTAAATTGTATTTTCCCGGCCAGTACTAGGAGCCAAGAAAATTTTATATTTTTGTAGGATTCTGTCTTTTATTTTCATACTTCCATAAAACATTTAATAACAAAATAGAATATGTTTGACCTAATCTTTGTGGACTTTTCTATTATTCATATACTTTGGGTAAAACTTAAAAATTTACATACATATTAATTTTCTTTCTTTTTTTTTGAAACATTTTGCTTGTCACCCAGGCTGGAGTACAATGGCGCAATCTCAGCTCACTGCAACCTCCACCTCTTGGGTTCAAGTGATTCTCCTGTCTTAGCCTCCTGAGTAGCTGGGATTGTAGGTGTGTGCCACCACACACAGCTAAGTTTCATATTTTTTAGTGGAGACATCATTTCACCATGTTGGCCAGGCTGGTCTTGAACTCCTGACCTCAGGTGATCCACCCACCTTGGCCTCCCAAAGTGCTGGGATTACAGGTGTAAGCCACCATGCCCAGCCAATATTGATTTCTATAATAACAGGACACTATAGGAAGAAATATTTCTGGCCGGGCACAGTGGCTCACGCCTGTAATCCCACTACTTTGGGAGTCTGAGGCAGGTGAATCACAAGGTCAGGAGTTCAAGATCAGCCTGGCCAAGATGGTGAAACCCCGTCTCTGCTAAAAATACAAAAATTAGCTGGGTGTGGTGACAGGTGCCTGTAATCCCAGCTACTCAGGAGGGTGAGGCAGAGAATTGCTTGAACCTGGGAGGCAGAGATTGCAGTGAGCCAAGATCACACCACTGTACTCCAGCGGGTTCTACAAAACAAATGAATAGAAAACCAAGACCAAAAGAAAAAAAGAAAAAGAAAAAAGAAAGAAACAGAAAAGAAAAATATACTTATTTGGTCAAAGACAGAACATAGAAATACAAGTGTTCGGATTTCCTTCAAAAATGAGGAGGGAAATAGATGAGTTTTGTCATCCCATTCCTTCTTGCTTTTTGATGATACAAAACCTAAAGGAATAAAAGCTGCGCACAAGTACCTTCACTAAAAATGGCTTGTGCACAAAATTAGATCAGAGTTAAGAAGATCTGTAATTCCTATTTCTCCTACAAATTGCCTCTTAAGACAATTCAGTTCCTGGTTAGGAGTCTAAAAGAAAAGACAAGACAATTCCTGGGTAGGGGCCTAAAATAAAATTTTTATAGTAGAAAAGCTTCTGTGTTATGGTCATAGAACCCGGAATAAAAAAAGTTACTTGGCAATCTCTGTTTCCCAATACCCTATTGTTATTTACTTGACATTAAAGATTAAAGTTATCTAAATGTTTCAAAGATACTTTTTAAAGTCTGGCGCTCACTATGTTGAAAGTATTAAGTCATTAAATAGATATTGAATATTTAATGTTCAAATGCTGGGGGGGATAATAAAAATGAATCCAACATTTTTCTTATCTTCAAGATTTATTGTAATTTTGTGGGAGAGGTAAACAAGCACAGCATGTGGAAAGAGGCCACTTATTATACTTTATAGTGTTATGCAAGTTCAAGGAGAGGAAAGCTCTTGTTTGTGTGGGCAAAACGGATCAGCAAAGGTTCCACAGAGGCAATGGTATCAAATGTGGTCTTAAATTTGGGGTAGAATTTTGAGTGGGAGAGAAAAAATGATGGAGTGTACAGGTGGAAGAACTGCATAGTCAAAGATAGAAAAGAAAAAGGAAAAACAGAAGGTCTAATTTGCCTGGAAATTAGAGACAACACTGGAAAGGCAGTGTGAGGTCTTCTTTTGGGAATTTAATGGCAGGTGGGTGGGAGCAGGCCACGGGGAATCAGAGAGGCTGTTGTTGACTGGAGGAGCACTGGAACGGGAACTCAGAAACATTCATCTGGCCACAAGACTACATCAGGACCTCAGGGCCAGCGCTGGTCTAGACAAGAGTTTCCCACGAGCCATTCTTGAACAATGTAGTGAATTCTCATGAAATGAAATTCAATGTAGAGGAGTGTCCTATATTCTAAAGCTGAGTCCTCCCCACATTACCATTTTAAAAATAGTCTATAGAACAATAAAAGATAAGTTTTTTAAAGAGTGTCTTTATCTGGCAAAATTAAAAGTTGGGAATTCTATGTTGGTCCTAAATCCTTTTTTGAAATATTACTGGTGAGAAAACCCAAAGCCTGGGAATTCTTGGCACATGGTGCCAATTTAGACATGAGAAAGAGGGAAGCGGGTGCGAGCTTGCTTGGATAGAGAGGTGAAAAAGTGGGGCTGACAGGAAGAAAGGTGGTTGGAAATTTAGAGGGTGAGGTAACTATTTGTTTTGGGAGTCAACAGAGGACCTTCCAAGGGTACCATTAATTAAAACAGGAGAGTCGGGAGGATAAAGGTAGTTTGGTGGAGGCAGAGTAGGCAGAGGCAGGCAAGGAAGAGATTCGTTTTGGAAATGTCATGTGGTTTGTCCCTGTAGGACAGCTGTTTGGAAATGTCCAACGAGCAATTAAAATGTCAGTCTGCAGCTTGGGAGGGGGGTTTATTTATTGATGAAACAAGAGGCATTTATTTTATACTTACTATGAGCCAAGCACTAAGTTTGGGGGAAAGAGACATATTTGCATGTTATTTCTATTGACTCCCTGGCGTTGATCTTTTCTTCATTAAGTACTTGTTATTAATATAATCCTTTTATTTGTTTTATGGTGCTTTGAACCTGTAAGCTAAGACACACTGGAAATATAATATTAACATTTACAATTGTTCTACGAAACAAATGAATAAAAAACCAAGACCAAAAAAACCCCTTTATTAGTGTATTAGTCACTAGCACATGCTACAGTAACAGATGCAAGCATATAATGGCACAGCCTCAGAAAAGTTTCTCAGTCACAGCTTATCTCAATGGGCAGGTAAAAAGGTTGCTGAAATAACTCTAAGAGACACAGCCTAAAAGGGGGTCCACCTCATAAATACAAGGCTTCCGAGGGTCACTGCATCTCCGCCAGTATGCAGTGGCACTTTCAAGCCTTTAAGTGGCAGCATCACTTCCACTTAGAATCAACAAGCTAGCACCCAGTCACATGGCCCCATCTAACTGCAAGGGCCATCTAGGAAACACAGTCGAGCTTTGTGTTCAGGGAGAAGAGGAAATGGATTTTGTTGAACAATGAGCAGACTGCCATAATTTTCATTAAATCATCTGAGAAAAAAAAAAAGTTAAATTCTAAGAAATAAAACACTGGGTCATGAAAAACACTTGGTGTACCAATGAACAGAATCTTTAGCACTGCTTCTCTGGAAAGAAGTAATTGGCACTTATAAGAAACTTCTATTCACGTAACAGTTAAACCATGTTTTATTAGAAACAAAACAGCTGAATTCCAATACTGCTCAGAGTCCTCACAAGGGTATCATTTGTTTTTTTCTAGCTGAGTAGTAAGCTAACTGACCTGAAATGATGGGAAGGAAGAAAATATTCCAGCATTCATAGGTTTTCTACAAGCACATCCTTGACAACCTTCCTCTTTGTTCCCAGGAATAAAGGCCTCTTCAATGTGTTTATGGTTTTTGCATTTGTCTCAACATCAGCTTTTTTTCTTCAAAATTGTCCTTCAATGACTGAATCCTGTGATGAACGCTTACTTTGCCTGTGACCACCTGCCTACTTCCAGAAGATTTTGACTACAAATCTCATACCCTTCATCTTAGTTCTGCACTTCAGCCTGAACTTGTCCTCAGAGTAGCAGACAGAAACCCATTAGCAGTCATCCATCACCACTCAAGATCTTATATCATTTGATATCTAGAGATATCTGCATTTATCTACGAAATATGTAGATTATCCCTTAGGACTATATTCCTTGTAATTTAAAATCAAATATTTCTACTGGGGATATTTCCTTTCCAAGTCTTAAGGTTATCGCCAGCTCTGCTTTGGTCAAGTTTTTTTTTTTTGGAGACTCCTCGCCCAGGCTGTAAGTACCATGTTGGCTAGTTGCAATCTCTACCTCCCAGGTTCAAGTGATCCTCCTGCCTCAGCCTCCCAAGTAGCTGGGGTTACAGGTATGTCCCATCACGTTGAACTAACTTTTGTACTTTTAGTAGAGATGGGGTTTCACCACGTTGGGGAGGCTGGTCTTGAACTCCTCACCTCAACTGATTCAGCCACCTCGGCCTTGAAAACTGCTGG